TTGACTAGATCATTTGCCAAAAATATGTGAAGTTTTAAAAGGAAGCTTTTCCTGTATGAATCATTATATTTTGCTGTTTTATGTGAATACGTCTAGTTATCATATAGAGAGCCAGAAGTGCTCTGGTGTAACTGTACCAGATGTAGAGCAACACACCCATCTCAAGTCCCCTCCTGGCTTAGAGCTACACTAGCCAGTCTGGTAGCCAGAAGCCACTGGTGACTTTAAAGTAGTTAAAATTAAGTAAAGTTTTAAATTTAATTCTTTGGTCAGACTAGCCGCTTTTCAAATGGAAATGGTACTCAATAGCCACATGTGGCTAGTAGCTACCATGTTGGATAGTGCGGATATGGAACATTTCCATCATCATAGAATATTCTATTGTCAATGATAGTTTAGAATGAGGGTGCCAAAATCAGACTGTCTGGGTTCAAATCATAGCTCTGACCAAGATACTTGGTACGTGACCCTGCACAGGTTATTTTACTTCTCCAAGCCTCAGCAGCCTCATTGATAAAATAAGTATGATAATTATCCTTATTTCCAAGTTTTTTTGTGAAGTTTAAATGCAATAGTATTGATTAAGTGCGTGACACCTTGTCGGACACACGAGTGAGTGTTCCATTAGTGGAAGCTGTCATCTTTTCCTGGTGTTCGATGGTCTCTTTATTTGCAGGGAGGAGGGGCTCTGTGTTTAGTGGCTTAAAGCTGCAAGAGGTTGTTGGCCCAGTTTCTAGCCAGACAAGCAGAAGGCATGTTGTAGGCTGTAGGAAACCCAGTTTGTCAGCCTGGTGATTTTTTTAACATGCTGTCCCTGAGAAACAAGATAGAGTTTGTTTTACTCCTCTTCTGTCAGGAAGTAACCCTTCTGGCTTTGTTAGAAGCATGGTTTGTAATAATTGTACCCACCCCAGATGGCTCCTGAAAACCCTTTGAAATGCCATCTGCCAGGCGTGTGTCCAGCCGGCAGCCCGTCATTCTGCAACAAGAAAAGAGGAGGCGGGGTCCCCTCCCCTAGCCCTTTTCTCCCCAGTGTGGCTGAATGGGGCCTGGTCTTGCTGGCCCAGACCCAGGGCGGGTTGCTTACAGGGTAACTAGGAGTAAACCTCCTGGTAGCCTGCAGC